TCTTGGCTTATTTCTTCTTTACTGATGTGAGGAGAGGGTGAGGGGGTCAGATTAAAAGGAAAATATGAAGAATCACCGACTGATTGATGGGCAAATGGAGGAGGAGAAAAAGAATCAGAGTCAGATGGAAAGGAATCGTAATGATGAGACGAGGAATAAGAATAGCTTCTCCTTGAGCGAGTTTGTATCTAATCATAAACTGTAAAGTTAATATGATCATTGTATGTAATTCTTACATTATTGGCTTCTTTCATTAGTTCAATTTGTTCCTCTAGTCTATTAGCTCTTGTTCTTTCTTGATCGTAAGCCTTCAGAAGACTTTCTTTCTATAACATAGACAGGATGAAAGTAGATACAATGTGAATTTCAATTTTTACTTCTTTTGAAAACTTTATTTGTAACTCTTGGATGCATGCAAAGTTGCTCATGCGTAAATTTATCAATTTCATGGCTGTAAGGACTAACTTCGTCTCTTAGTGCTTGCATTTTATCTTCTTGATTCTGACTAATGGAAGCATCAAGCTGTCTTTTTAAAACTTTTATTTCTTCATCTTGAGTCTTTATTATCTATCATGTACATAATAACTGAATTGTTACACCAGTGCTCATTAATATCTATTACTTGTTTATCAGCTTCATGCTGTGCCAATAATTCCTCCATTCTTGTTTTAAGAGTTTCACATTCTTCATGTATTCTTTGCCTGTCATTCCTTTCAGCTTCAAAGTCTTGTTTGTAAACTGCACTCTACATTAAGCCACCTAAAACCAATACACAAGTCTATTACATACCTGTACTTCTTTTAAATCAACATGAGTTTGTAACGTTTCATTCAACGTCTTTAGTTGTTCTATTTCTTCCTCATATTCCTTCATTGATTTGTCTTTGTTTTCTGGCTCCATTTAGTGGCTTGGGATTGCTGCAAGGAAATAGTAAATGATATTTCTGATATGCTTTTATGTTGTGTAGAAATTTTGAGCTAATTCCAACTTAAATTTTCCAAGTTATGACCATTTTAAAAAATTGGTCAATTTTTCAAAAATTCACTGTACTATAGCCCATGGTTTTTTCCAAAAAATGGCTCCGAAATCACCCCCAGTTTTTATTACATTTTCTGATACATATTGATGTACTTATGCTATGTAGAAAGTTTGAGCCAATTCCGACTTCAATTTTTCGAGTTATGACCATTTCTAAAAAACTCCAAATTTCTGAAAAATTCCCTGTACTATAGCCCATGGTTTTTTCCAAAAAATGGCTCCGAAATCACCCCCAATTTTAATTACATTTTCTGATACATATTGATGTACTTATGCTATGTAGAAAGTTTGAGCTCGTTTCAACTTAAATTTTTCAAGTTATGATCATTTTAAAATGAGCCAATTCTTAAAGAGACGATCTGAATACAAGCTTAGCATGCTTAGCATTACATGTATAAGAGGTGCGGTTCATTCTCACCTGTCTGTCGAGTTGCTCACAACTTTAGCTTCACTAACTGGGTAGTATGAAAAGGAGGAGAACTATCCCTAACACACAGCAAGACCAGGAACGAGTATAAGCAATAGTCGAGGACTGCGAGCAGCCAAAATGGAGAATGGAAGAATGGGTTGTCTTATACCAACCTTATAGGCGTGGTCAGCAATCTACCCACGTGTATTCACGTGCGTATAATATTGTCAACTATAGAATACATTACATGTACATGTACACAACACAAGATGTTCTATTGCTCATTCCACTTGGTCTGAGCATAGTCTTCAACAAGGAGACAGAAAGCATTATAATTGATGTCATGTCTTCCTCCTATTATGACACCAAACTTGAGACAAATCAGGTTCAACTCAAACTGGCTTAGGTGAGGCATCAGACTCAAATCATCCAAGACACGCTTAAACTAGGCAAAAGAAAAAGAGAAATTAAACTAATTTAATTTGCATGAGAATAACATTACTTACTTGCCCTGTGGTCACATTTCCTCTGTGAACTTTGTCATAATCTTCAAATGGAGGGAAAAGTGGAAGATGTCTTACCCTGACCTACAGCGTTACATCAAGATAAAGAGAGAGAGAGATTAATAAGTAGTAAAATATTGGAGCCAGGCCCTTACAGATTCTGCTAGTTTGTGCAGAGCTTTATGGACAGCTTCCTCGTCTGACAGTAAGAGCTGATTCAAATCAACATCTTCTGGTGGCTTGAACTGCATAACCTGGAGGAACCACAAATACAATCAATCAGTGATACATGTACTGTGCATGCACTGTGCATGTGCTGTGCATGTACTGTGCATGTACTGTGCATGTACATGTACATGTACCTC